GAGAGAGAGAGAGAGAGAGAGAGAGAGAGAGAGAGAGAGAACGTCGATATTTTGAAGCCGTTGTGCTCATAATCGTCGTGGACGAAACAAAACAGGGATACGTAGGGTTAGGGAGAAATAAAACTGCTCGGATGTTCGATGGATTGCATAGATGCCCGTGAGCATTTCGGCGTGTCTGTGGCAGGTAGATGTTTAGGTAGGTGAACAGATTGAGCCCATATGTAGTGGGCTGTGCGTGATGGAGGTGTGCATCCATGAAATTTGGGTTATCAGCAGGAGCTTAGCGGGCGGATTCCATTAACATGGTCAGAATCAGAAAGGCGGGAAGCGAGGAACACGCTGCACGAACGTGTGCGAAAAGGGAACACGCTCCTGCTGATACCCCAAATTAATGCAGAAAATGCATTCGACAGAAAATGTCATGAAAGGGAACACGAGTTGTCATTATGCACGTCATAGGAATCTGTTGAATGCATTTTCTGCGTTCTTTGTCGAATGCATGACACTCATATAGACATTTCGTCATTACCTTCTTCCCCCGAATACAACGTACGGTCATTCTAGCTGTATCTAGACTGAGAGATGCGTCAAATACAGCTATAATGACCGTACGTTGTATTCGGGGGAAGAAGATAGTACGTCCGTGGAATTTCGTCTTCACGGTTTGTCTAACTATCAGCATTCCGCTAATTACTGTATATTAGCGGAATGGAGGGGCTGGTGGGTTATCTTGCCGCTGCCTAGCCAGCCTCTCTACTATCTCTACAGTTATATGGAGTGGATGGCTCTCCTCTTGATCTTCATCTCTATTCTCTGGGTAATACCTTTTTCCCTCAATCATCTGTTCCTCTTTGTGACATCTCTCTTCCCTATCGGCTGATCATCTCCTCCGTTTCTCGTCTTCCTCCCCCCCCCCTCCTCTTCCTTTCTGAATCAAAGACAAGGAACTGTCCTGGGACTGGTATGAGCACTCTAGGATTGAACCTGTCCCTTTCTCGTCTATTGTTGATGCTATTCGATTTCCTCCTCCTCCTCCTCCTCCTCCTCCTCCTCCTCCTCCTCCATCGCTCATCTTTTCCTGATTTTTCTTTTCTGAATGCTCATCATCTTCAGCTCTATTCCCTCTCCGTCATCATTATCTATTTCCACTTTCACCACCACTGGTCTTGCTCTTTCATTCCTCGTCGTCTTCAGTTGTCTTCTCACCGTTCTGCACTGTCAAATGTCCATTCACACCCTTCTCGACAGCAACTACCCTCACCGAATATGGAGTGGACTGATTTTTTTTTTTTTTTTTTTTTTTTAAAGAAATTCAACTGCCATGTCATATCAGCGACCAGCCATGTGATACTTCAAAATTTCTTTCAACTTGTTGCATCCGGATTCGACCACAGGTGTGCATTTCAACTGTCCGTCGGTTTACCAACGGAGCTAGGCCCGTCGGTGGAGGGGAGGGGAATTTTGTACGAGGCAGTGCAGTGAAAGTGGTTCGAAGTGGAGTCATAATGAAGACACGATAAACTGGTTCCTAAGGATGCACTTGACTGAATTTTGGACCAGACTCGTTTCAAATCGTTCCAGTGGATAGCGTGAATGATAACATGCTATTCTCTAGATGAAGTAATGAATTTGGAGGATGCAAGGAAGGAGGAGGAGAAAGCATGCTGTGCAGATTGCACCATGACGTGTGGTATTCGAGAAATGCTGTGCTAAAGCCCCAAAGTGGGCAATTCACTCGGTGACTTGCACGGTCGCCCTCACTAAACCAACAAAATCTGGACTACGATTCACATCGAGTCCGACTGAGATTGGATTGACTCTTCTTGGATCCTCCCTCATAAGGAAGGATCTCGTCTTTTCTCGCTTTTTTTTTTTCTTTTCAGTAATGTCATGGCAGTTATCCCTCAGGGAATTGAACTCATGATCTCCCTTTACGAACATTTGACAATTCAGCCTTCTGATCTCCTCTTCGTCTTTTTGTGACCCGTGTGGCATTTGCCTATGGCTTTTGTCACCCGTGTGGTTTTTGTGGTTTTCTGTCTTCTGATCTCCCTCTTACAAAGATTGTACGTCGTGCTCGGTTTGTGGTTGGTGTTGACGTGCAGAGATATGTATGGCTTCGCTGTGCGTCCACAGCACGTGGCTCGGTACAAGGAGTACTCGCGGATCTACCAGGTATAGCTCAATCGCGGATCTAATTGGCATAAAATCCTCGATCTCGCTCGTGTGCTTTGTCTCCTGTCGGCCATTCTCGCGTCTTTCTATGCCCTCAATCAGAGTATTACTCTCTCCATCCGTCACCTCATATTTGTTCCCCTCATATTTGCTCCCCTCATATTTGTTCCCCTCATATGGCATCAAATCCCAAACTGCGTGGCAAATTCTTATTTTTGTAACGTGTTTTCGTGCAGAGTTTGATGGACAGAACTTGGATCCAACGGTATCAACGGTGCTATGATCTGGCGGCTGGAGACTGCTGTCGATTCTGTTTACTTAGGAGTTGGAATAAAATAGTGGCAGCGTGTATTGAGCACGCCATTAACTGATGATGTCAGCCATAGAGGTCATGAAGCGCAGCCAACCTGCTGCATTCCACGCCACCCACGCCCACACCCCTATCCCACCCTCACACTGCTACCGCGCATCCCACCCCTATCCTCACACTGTAACCCCGTAGCCCACCCCGCCCCCAACCGCCCACCCCACTGCCCCACCCCATGCACACTACACCCCACCGCCACCCCACCGCCACCCTCC